AGCAAATGCCCTTTCAATGTCCATGTTTGTCTTTTTCTTTGTTCTACTAATGTGACAGGTTCTTCTGTTTACTTATTTAAACCACCATTGCAATCTTGAAATAAATCTTACTTGGCCATGGCTAACAACCCACTTAATAGATACTTATATTCTTTCATTTTGTGTCTGTGTGTGTGTGTGAACTTTTGCACCTAGATCCATAGATATTGATCTCGAATTTTCTTTCTTTTTAATATCATCATTTGGCTTGGGTGACAAAGCTATGCTAAGTACAGAAAATAAGTTTTAAAAGTGCCCTCCTCACTGCAGGAAAGAGATATTTCTGTAACTCTGAATATTTGGTAGACTTTATTGTGGGGTCCATTAGTCCTAGACTTTCTTTATTAATATTATTTATATCTGATTCAATATCTTGAGTTGTTGGTATTGATGTCAATGTTCAGTTGTTATTTTTATTTTTTTTTCTTCAGTGGGTTCGGTAACCTGACAAACAGGAAAATAAAATACATTTACCCACTGGACCGACAGGCCTTTGTCTTGCTTGATCTCTTAGTAACCCCTTTCTGTCACTACTCTTCTGGGTGTATTTCAAACCCATGGCTGCCTCTAGACTCTTTTGCTACTTTCGTGTCTCTCATACCCTCCATGGGAGCAAATTTGTTTGGATTTTACAGATTCACCACACTTGCCCAACTACTGTATTAGTCTTTGGGAATGCAGAAGTAGCTTCTTCACTAATCCATCTTTGCTGCTAACACTCTGCTTAAAGTTGCCACCCAGAGTGGCAGAGGTTGAATCTGTCTGACTGTCTGTCTGTCTGTCTGTCTGTAATCCTCCAGTGATCATACATCTCATTCAAAAAGAAATCCCTAGGATCTGCACTTGTGCTGTCCTCCCCAGGATCTGCACCTGTGCCCTGCTTCCCAGGATCTGCACCTGCTCTCCTCCCCAGGATCTGCACCTGTGCCTTCTCCCCAAGGTCTGCACCTGTGCCCTCCTCCCCAAGATCTGCACCTGTGCCCTCCTCCTCAGGATCTGCACCTGCTCTCCTCCCCAGAATCTGTACCTGTGCTCTCCTCCTCAGAATCTGCACCTGTGCCCTCCTCCCCAGGATCTGTACCTGCCCTCCTCCCCAGGGTCTGCACCACCTGTGCCCTCCTCCCCTACCTTCTGATGTACTCAACACCATCTCTCACTATGGTCACCAGTGTGCCTTCATAGCTGCTGTTTTCTCTGCTTGAACTCCTTTCTCTTCAGGTATCTTTTTGTTTTGTTCTATTTTCTTATTTGTTTGCTGGTTACTTATTTTTAAACTTACTACTTTTTTACAATAAGATTACACCCTGTAGCCCATTTTGTTCCAGTATTGGCTACACGTGTAGGTCAGGATGGCCTCAAACTTGAAGCAACCATCTTGCCTCTGCCACCAAGTACTGGGATCTTGGACTCCATCATGCCTGGCCACTGGTGTATCCTTATGACCTGCCCCAATGCTCCCTTCAGGTCCTGCTCAGATTACTTCCTCTTGTATCTCTATACATAGTCTTCATGTTCCTTGTATTTACCTAAATTAATATGTATTTCTTGAATTATTTATTATGGTATTTATTCACTTGTTTATGTGTTTATTACTGAGGGTGTGCACATGTGAAGGCAAGAGGGAAACTTGTGGGACTAAGATCTCTCCTTTTACCACCTTCATCCTAAGGATCAAACTCTGTTGGCTTTTCCGGCCTATCTACTGGACCATCTTGCTGGCCCTTATTTAGTTACTTTCTTATGCACTACAGGTTCTATAAAAGTGGGAGTTTTTCTTTATTACTCATTTCTTTGTTTGTAAGCCTAGAACTAATCCTCAGATATAAAAACAACATGCTATAAGTATTTTTAAGAATGAAAACTTGAAGGAATGAAGTACTATCCTAATCCACATCCCAATCATGTCTGGCTTACAAAGGAACATGGACTAGGCTTCCCTGACAGTAGCTTTTGATCTTCTGCTTGCTGACCAAATAGCATCTGTCTTAGTATCTGTTAGAAAGCTCAGTGAATTCCTACCAGTTCCATGAGAGATTGCCACTCCCACTTAGGATTATTCAGGTCTCTGGGCTTTATTCCCAACCTTCAACTCAAGCTTCCTTTTCAGTCTTCTCTCTAATAACTTCTAAACTGCTCTTCCTTCAAGTCAACAGTGTTTGCACACCCTCAGTTTCCTGCTTGTCTTCTTGTCCCCTGGCAGTACCTGTGCTGTCCCAGGAGATAATCCTTCTCCATCCCTGCCATGTGCTTTTATCCACACCTAGACTTTATGGCCCCACTGCTTAAAACTTACAGTCGCTTACAAACATTGAGTGTGCTCACATCTGTGACTCTATTAGCTCAGAACTAATGTTCCTACATTAGTTCTGTATTTATCCTAGGTTACTGACTACCAGAGAAAGATAGTAAATCCTTTGTCATGTTATTATTACATCAACTGGTACATACATTCATTGTGTTATAAGTATTTTAACTGAAGTGTAGATACAATTTCCATTCCCAGCTCTGGAAGAACTTCCTTCTCAATAACTTGTTTCACTATATTCTAAAACAAAATTAGTCTGCCTCTTTCTTAGAGTAATAGTGAAAAATAAAGTTTCCCCATTTTTGGTATTTGAATTGGTACTAAGTCAGGATTGAGAAGCCCTGGTGGAAGAAAGAAAACTCTATGCTGTGCAGTGTTCATTCTCTCTTGCCAGCCTCTCCTGTGTGACTACAGATGACCTGGCATTGGGTGGTTGATTCTGAGCAGCACCGTAGTCCTATAATCCCTATACTTAAGATAATGAATGCCAATCTGCTCACATCACAAGAGTGACATCAGCGGCTCTCCACTGCCATCTAAAGCTCTACCCAGGCTCTCAATGAACAGTCTCTCCTGGGTTGTCCTTGTCTCCTCTCCTGTGGGGATCCTTTAAATGTCCTTAGTTCTCAGCCACTAACAAAAGTTTCAGCATCTTGCTCAGCTTCCTTTACATTCTCCCCAATTATCATTGCTGTCATTTTCCCACAGAGACTAAGGAAGTGGACTTGTATCCAGAGCACTTGAAGTTTGTATTTCTCCGTTCCCAAGAGTGAGCCCAAATATCTGGAAACCTTATTTTTATTTTCTAAGTCACTTTTGTTCCTTAAAACGGTGTGAGCCAGACAAATGGGAGAAACAGTTCATATATCTCAAGTTAAAGTGAGAATCTTCAGTTGATCCTGTGATTTGCCCTGGGGAAGTATGGACTGAGTGCAGACTACCTGGCTCCAGTTCTAGAAATCACTTTCTATTGTTGGGAATCTGGTTAATCTCAATTTCCCTCTGTGAAAATAAGGTTCCATACTATCTACTCAGCAGTGCAGCTATGGGTACTGAATAAAGCAATGTGCAGAAATCACTTACAGGACATTCTGGCCAATAGTGAAAGCCGTGCTTGGCACAAAATGGGCAGGTGAACAAGATGGCATCTGCTCTGTCATTATAGAGGGCATAACATTAAATAAATAAACATTGATGAATACCTAATTGCCATTTATGATAAAGACTGAGAAGGGAAGGTACAGTGCCAAACAGTTGTGAAAAAAATAGTTAAGAAAGAATTATTTGCTTATGTATCCCCATATTTTTTTGTGTGTGTTTATCTATTTAGCTTAAAAGATAAGGTGTCAGCTTCTAAGATAAGAGCATTTCAGGAGAGCAAACAGCATGGTTGGAGGCTACAGGGGAAGGAGTGCTAGGGAAAGGGAGCCTGGTAAGAGAGGAAGAGTGGAGCCCTGGTGGCATGTGAATGTCTCCACCATGGGAAGGAACTGACTCAATGCAATTTCTGTGAGAAGACACTACAAGTGGTGTGAGCTCTTTATTTTTGCACGGGTT